GGAATGCCGGCAGTACCGGGCAGTCGTGTATAGCAACACCATCCAGTCCATCATGGCCATTGTTAAAGCCATGGGCAATCTGCAGATTGACTTTGCCGACCCCTCCCGCGCGGTACGTGGATTCCCCAACCCTTCCTCCCTCCCATAAGGCTTCAGGGCAAGTCTTGTCCTGGGGAAGCTGAGAACACCCCAATCTGGGCCTCATTCCAGAGGCCTCCCTGCCTCTGACAGGTGGGGTGGGGGTGTGCTCCTGCGACTAGCTGACCACTCACTGCTGTGCCCAGGACGACGCCAGGCAGCTGTTTGCACTGTCGTGCACGGCTGAGGAACAGGGCGTGCTCCCTGAGGATCTGTCCGGTGTCATCCGGAGGCTCTGGGCTGACCATGGTGTGCAGGCCTGCTTTGGCCGCTCGCGGGAGTACCAGCTCAACGACTCTGCCGCCTAGTGAGTACTCCAAGGGGCTGGGCTGGGGGTGCAGTGTGGGGAGACCTGGACTATAGCCTGAAGCAGAGGGCCTGAGCACCCGTAAAAAGATACTGCCAGCCTCTGTTCATGAAGCTGCTGTCAGCCAAGGTCTTGATGATCTTGGGTTTGGCCTGGTGCGGGGCTGTGGAGGGACATCCAAACAGATGGTGCTACCCAGATAGGCTGCTGGCCCTGTACTCTCATCTCTCCTCTCCTACCTCTGCTTAAGCCAGTCCCTCTGTCTGAACAGCTTTCCCAGTCCCACTGCCCATCCCATCCTGAGCTCACCCAGAGAGGGGCTGGACCTCTCTGAAGGTGGGTGGGAGGCCGGTCTTGCCTGGCCATGGCACCTGAGCCCTGCCCCAGTCACAGGGACAGCCGCCCCTCTCTCCCTGCAGGGGCACTGTGAGTGCACGCCCCCCACAGGAGCTGCAGAGTCACAGCCAAACACTGCGGGGGGGTGGGGGTGGGGGCCCAGAGGTCACAGGCTCAGTGCCAGCAGAGCTTTTGGGTCCTGGAGGCAAGGAGGGGTGGGTCCTATCACTGCCATCTCAGTGCCCAGGATACTCAAGGAGGGCAGGGTAGGGCCACCTTCCGGCTACCTCCCACTCCTCCATCATCCTCATCCCTGTTCTTCGTTCCCCAGACATTAAGTTACCACCCTGTGCCCAGCACTGTTCTGGGTGTAGGGATTCAGCAGTGAACATGGGCCCTGCCCTCCCAGGCAGGTTTATGCCATGACAAGATCACCCAGAGGTGGGGAGCAGAATGGAAAACTCCAGGGACCAGGCATACTGCAGCCCCTCCTCACAGCAATCCTCCAAGGCTGCTGTGGGGCAGTGGGTCCCTGGGGTGAGCCCACCTGTTGGGGACAAGGGAAAAACTAGTGGGGAACCCACCATGAGGCCTCTGGGCTGGAGGCTCTCAGTAGGGGGCAGGGTACAGTTTGCAGGTCACAGCACATGCGTCATGGTCCCCCATAGCCCTTCCTGTTTTTCTGTTCTGTCTCTGCGTCTCTGAGTTCATTTCCCTCTGGCCTAGCTGCTGGTGGGAGCCAAGGGCTCGCCCCAGCAGCCCTGCCCCAAGAACAAGACACTGGTACTGGGCAGTGGCTGGGAGGCCTGGACCCAACCCACAAGACACAGCAAGGATATTGAGGCAGGCAGCAGAGCTGGTCTCAGGGCTTGGCTGGGGCAGCTTGGATACTAATTAGGAGAGCTGGTAATGAGGAGCCCCTGGGACCCCTGCCAAGCGAGTGTTCATGCCTTCCCCCTGAGGAGCCCAAATTTTACTGGGCAAAGAGCCCACTGGGCCTGGCAGGCCCCAACCTGTCCAGCCCTGCATCGAAGGACATGCCAGGCTGCTCTGTGGCGGGTGCCGTAATTACGCTGATTAACATCCTGAATCTCTCACTGAAGGACTAATTTGCCCCCTCCCACCACCCTCACCTGTAGTTCCACCACCCTGGATCTTGTCTGACGCAGGCCTGCCTCAGACCTGGGTGCTGGGGCTTGGCTGGTTAGCCACAGAAATGCCCCTCCTCCCAGGCCCATTCCACAGGCAGGAGGCAGGGGAGCTAGTGCAGGTTTCCTCATCTGAGCAGTGAATGCAGTACAGGCAAGGGTTAAAGAGGCAAGGGCTATGCCTGGGAAATGAGGGGATGGGAGGGAACGGGGCCCAGTGGCCCCCACTGATGCCCCACCCCCCGTCCCAGCTACCTGAATGACCTGGAGCGCATTGCACAGAGTGACTACATCCCCACGCAGCAGGATGTGCTGCGGACTCGCGTGAAGACCACGGGCATCGTGGAGACACACTTCACCTTCAAAGACCTACACTTCAAGTGAGCGAGCATGTGGGCAGGGTAATGGGGCAGGAGCTGCCAGCCTTGCGGGTGACAGGGAAGAGATCCTCACTCCAGGGCCTGCCGACGGCTGTTGGGAAAGAGGGCTGGTCCAGGATCCGCAGCCCCACTCTGAAGTTTCTTAAGGCTTTGTGGTTGCCAGCAGCTCACAGCCTCTGCTGGCCCTGCCCCATGTGGAGGCAGCCTACCCTGCTGACCAGCCTGACCCTGCTGGGCCGGACGTGCCCTGGCTTAGAACCCCAGGGATAAGGTGGGCCAGCGTGGATGATTCCATGGAGGCAGCTGCCATACTCTGAGCAGGCCTCTGTCCTCAGTCGGTCAACCTGTGAAATGGGGCAGGGACCTTCTCCCAGAACTCCCTTCTCTGGAGCTAAGGTGCTGTGTTTGCAGGATGTTTGATGTGGGTGGTCAGCGGTCTGAACGGAAGAAGTGGATCCACTGCTTTGAGGGCGTCACAGCCATCATCTTCTGCGTAGCTTTAAGCGCCTATGACCTGGTGCTAGCCGAGGACGAGGAGATGGTGAGAGGCCCGGAGGCCACTGGGGGAGGGTGGGGGCAGTGGTGGGGGCGGGGGCTGGTGCTGAAGGCGCTGTCCTGCCCCCAGAACCGCATGCATGAGAGCATGAAGCTGTTTGACAGTATCTGCAACAACAAGTGGTTCACGGACACATCCATCATCCTCTTCCTCAACAAGAAGGACCTGTTCGAGGAGAAGATCACACACAGCCCCCTGACCATCTGCTTCCCTGAGTATACAGGTGTGGGGTCTGGGCCTCTGGGGAGGAGCTGGTGGTGACCAGGTGGCCCACGGGCGCCCCCCGCTGGACAGAAGGGTAACTGTGGGACACACGCAAGGGCTGGTGCCTCACAGGCTTATATATCGATACTTGTGTCTGTACACCCCAGGGCCCTTCTTAACACACTCAGGCATGTACTCTGTATGTCACTGAGCATTCTCCTTCACACAATCAGGTGCCCTGCTTTGCACACTCAGACGTGTCTGTGCCCTCTCACAAGTGTCACACGTTATATGCTTGTCAGTTCACACGCATAGAACCTCGCTGTACCTGTGGGACAGGCCTGCCTGCCGCACATGCAGCACGAGTCCTCACCATTTTGTCTCCCACAGGGGCCAACAAGTACGATGAGGCAGCCAGCTACATCCAGAGCAAGTTCGAGGACCTGAACAAGCGCAAGGACACCAAGGAGATATACACGCACTTCACGTGCGCCACTGACACCAAGAACGTGCAGTTTGTGTTCGATGCTGTCACCGATGTCATCATCAAGAACAACCTGAAGGACTGCGGCCTCTTCTGAGGGGCAGCGGGGCCTGGCAGGATGGTGAGCCAGAGGGGGCCGGGCAGGGAGGAGCGAAGTGGGGCCACTGAGCCCAGAGAAGGGACACGGGTGGGGCTGGGGAAGGTCCAGGTGGGGGTGGTGAACTTGGAAACCCGCTAGGAGACCAGAGGACAAGGGGAGGGAGGCACAAGGTGCTGAATCAGGAGGGCGATGGAGTGCAGGGCACTGAGGAGGTGGCACAGGTAAGCCTGGGCTCCATTCTGCCCATTGGTCCAGACAGCAGAAATGCCTGGTTGTGTCCTGGGACAGAACTAGACGGCTGTCCCGGTTTTCCTTGGAGAAAACTCACTTTCTCACCCACCAGGCCACTGGCCTAGCCTGAAGGATCTAGATGACAGGGGGCCCAGCTGCCCCAGCTGCCCGCCACTCAGTATGACCAGCTCTGCACTCATCCCTGCTGTCTTCCCCTCGGACCTATCTGAGGGCCCTGGTCTGAGGCTGGCCCCATCAGCCCTGGGAGAGGTGGGGAGGATTCTGCCAGTGCTACAGACTCCCCTCCCCCACGTAACCCAGCAACACTCACTGGCTTCTGGGCGGCCACTGTGTCCCTGGTAATGAGTGGGTGGGGAAAAAGGAGAAGGGTCATTGTCTAGGGAGGCGGGAGGAGAGACACACACTGGCTCCCTCCCTCCCTCCCGACCCATGCCCTGACTGTCCCCCACTTCCAGGGCCACCGCCGACTCTGCTCCCCCCAGCCCCTGAGGAAGATGGGGGCAAGAGGACCACGCTCCCCGCCTGTCCCCCTGGCCGCTTTTCCCCTTCTCTCCTCTCTCTGTTCTTGGCTCCCCCTCTCCCCTCCCTCAGCTCCAGAGACTTGGGGGAAGGGTTGCCACAGGCCTCCCTGTTTGAAGCCTGCCCTTATCCCAGGTGCAGGGAATGGCCACTGTACCCTCTCCTGGCATCTGTTCTGATTTTAACTGTTGTCTTGTTCTGTGATGGGGGAGGGGAGCACATGCTGAGTCTCCCAAGGCCTGTGTTTGGAGGGGCACCCACTTCTCCAGCCTGGGGACTCCTGGCTTTGCCCAGCATCAGCCCCTGACCCAACCCAAGTCCAAATGTTTACAGGGAGCCTCCTGCCCCCACCAACCCCCTCCCCCTAAGCCACTCGGAGGCCCCAAAGGAAAAAGCACAAGAAGCGTGAGACGCCACCATTCCTGGAGACCACAGTCCACCGGCTCATTCTCATAGCTTTTTTTTTAAAAAAAAAGAAAGGCAAAGGGAAAAAAAAGGAGAGAGAAAACTGCAAGCCTAGAAAACTTTTTAGAAGAGAAACTATTTAAAACTGTCAGGTCATGACCAGCACCCACCCAACCCCCTTCCCATGATTCCGTGCCTTGAGTGTGTCTGCGTGTTTACACCCATCCCTCTGCTGGTTGCCCCCTGTGTGGGCGGCGCCCCTGCCCTGCCCTCTACAGAACTGGGTTTCAAGGGCTGTTCCAGACAACTGCCAACGTCACTGAGGGCCCCGCCCCAGCGGCCCTGGGCCCTGGCTCCATTAACCTAAATGTAGCTCCTTAGCGCTAACCTAGGAACCGCCGCTGCCTGCTGAGGGGCCATGCCCCTCATGCCCTCACCCCAGGCCCGGGTCCTTCAGTGTTGAACACTTCCTTGCTTTTTTCACGTTTTATGGAATTGTTCACCTGGTTTGAAATAATAAAATGTAGAAAGAAAAAATACCAAGAACTGCTCGGCATT